TAAGCGGTCAAAAAGTTAACGAAACAATTCAACTGAGCTCAAAGAAAAACAAGATATTTCATATATATATATAAAACTTGTTAATAATAATTAATAACTAAGTAGCGTGGAATAGTATTACATTCTCTTTTTCTCTAACCTATACACACACATATATATATATATATAAAATATAAGAAAACGGACTTTTTACTTTCAATTTTGAATCAATAATAATCAAATCGTTCACACTTGTGTCCCGGCAAAGCGACGAGAGAGATTCGCGTCTACGTAACGTGTTGCGTACATAACGTTTGTACGTTAAAAAAAAAAAAAGAAAAAAAAAAGGAGAAAAAAATAATAATAATAATAATAACTCGCGACGACACGACGATGCGAGGAGCAGAGGGGGAAGGAGAAGAGAGGGAGGAGAAGAGGGGGAGAAGAGGGAGGCGGGGAGGAAGGAAGAAATGATGGCGGCTAGAGGTCGGTTAGAGGACATCAATAATAATAATAATAATCATAACAACGATAACGATAGCAATAATAATAATAATAATAGTAATAATAATAATACCAGGTCACTGAAAAAAAATTGAGAGACCTCATCCCAAAAGCAAACCACGGCGGGCTCGGTTGTAAAGCGAGACAGGAACCAAGGTTGCCAATATGCAATTTTCTAGAGGATTGTAATATTATCTAGATAGGTATATATACACACACACATATATATATATATATATGTATATATATATATAATGTATATATATATATACATCTAAATATGTCAATATAAAGATATATATATATGTATATACACACATAGAGAAAGAGAAAGAAGATATATGTGATACATACAAAAAACGTATCTACGTATCTATCAAAAAGAAACAAGAATTAGGAAACAAAATATTTAATATTTTTATTTTTTTTTTTTTTTTGATGTAGTTTCTGCTAGATCGCATGCAGAGTTTTCTTTTTTCTTTTCTTTTTTTCTACTTTCCTTCCGATCTTTTTCTCCTGTGTACTTACTTAACGCGTATATATACGACGGTTATAGTGGAAATATGGATAAAGCATATACTCGTTCTTAAAACAGTTATCGATGTTCCTCTTTCTTTAATTCTGGATTAATTTTCGAGCCTATAAACCCGTAAAGAAATAGAAAGCGAACAAATACAAATACGATTTCATACGAACGAACTTTTCACGTACGAAGCATCCTATCGAGGGTGCGAATATATATATATATATGTTTGAGAATAATTCGTTATAAAAAAAATATTCTAATACTCGCACCCTTTTCTTTTTTTTTTTTTTTTTTTTTTTTTTTT